GGACTCTCTCTCGAGCCCAACCAGCAGCCGCACAGCGGCGCATGATATATAGGCAGAATGATATTACCGACAAAGACAAGGGAGACTGGAATGGCCATTTCTGGCTTATTAGCCGTCGTCAGTCAGCCATACCCAAGCTCGAAGTGTGGAACACCCGAGCCACCACTGTATATTACCTATCGAAAGCCGACAGAGCAACGGGCTCGTGGCCCGGTGGGTAGAGGCGTGGACTTCTAAACCAACAGGTCGCGAGTTCGAGGTTCGGGTGTTCCACACTTCGGGCTTGGGTATGGCTGGCTGACGACGGCTAAAAAGCCAGAAATGGCCATTCCAGTCTCCCTTGTCTTTGTCGGTAATATCATTCTGCCTATATATCATGCGCCGCTGTGCGGCTGCTGGTTGGGCTCGAGAGAGGGAGCCCTTAAGGCACAACGGAACGAGTGAGTTCCGTATGAACTATCGGTGAGCGCCCCTACGACAATGTATATATATATCGGCAGAATGGTATTGCCGACAAAGACAAGGGAGACTGGAATGGCCATTTCTGGCTTATTCGCCGTCGTCAGCTAGTCATACCCAAGCCCGAAGTGTGGAACACCCGAGCCTCGAACTCGCGACCTGTTAGTTAGAAGTCCACGCCTCTAACCACTGCGCTACGAGCCCATTGCCCTGTCGTTGCGCCGCTGTACGGCTGCTGGTTGGGCTCGAGAGAGAGCCCTTAAGGCACAACGGAACGAGTGAGTCCCGTATGAACGATCGGTGAGCGTCCCCTACCATTGTATATATATAGATATATTATGATAGTGGGCGCTCGCCGATCAGGTTACGGAACATGCTCGTTCCGTTGTGCCTTGGGGCTCATACTAGAACCCTCGCAGGCAGTCGCACAGCGACTAGTAGAAGACATAGATTAGATGGTGCCGACAAAGACAAGGGAGACCGGAATGGCCATTTCTGGCTTATTAGCCGTCATCAGCCAGTCATATCCAACCCCAAGATATATATATATATATACTGGGTCACTACGTTCCCTACTGGGAAGCCAATAATACTTGCGAATGGTAGACCCAAGTTTGATAAGATGCTAGCTCAGCTAACTACCGGGCAGGTTCCCAAACTGCCACGAGAAGATTCGTAACTACCTTTTAAAAAATCCTTTTGAGTCGGCATGCCTTAATAGCTTGAAAACCCTTTCAGTCCTCCACGCTGAACACGAGAACAAGTTTGAAACAATAGGCAAATTCACTTGCATTTCATGGAGTTATTCTCTTTCCTTACCCTCTGTTTTTTCTCGAGGACTTGATTAAACCTCGCGTAATCTTAAATATAAGTCATCGATATTATTATCGCTCTTAGTAGCATTCGCTTGTGATTCGCATTAATATGGAAGTTTGTCTAACAAGTTCACTGAATTCAGGGTTGAGTTTCAACTGTCTTCCTGCCATTATACCGACCGGACTACCATTAACTACAGGCCGTGCCATATTGAGTGCATTGATTCACTTTTATTTACTGCTTAATATTTTGTCTATTTTCAGAAACAAACTTCCCAAGGTACCGAGCGGTGTTTTAGAGGCCCTGACACTGAATAGCAAGGGCAAGTTAAAGGCGCTACAGGAACTACAAACCTACGCTCCCGTAAATCAGTCTGCCAACGCTTATACAACTTCTGCAGACGGCGCCTCCAACGACGGCAGCAACAGCAATCAGCTGAATTTAAACCAAAATGCAGGCGAGGACAGCGCCAGCAAGAATACC